TTGCCCAATTTGAATCCAATTACTGTTGTTGTGTCTTTATTTTCACGTTTTACTTCGTGGGTTGGTAGACAAAAGGTGTTTCTTCACCAAGGCTCCAGAGACAGCTATAATGGCAAGCCACTCTCACCCAGCCATCTTCTTCTCAACTGAAAGAGAAAGAGGGAAAATATCTCTTTCTGGGGTTTGTTCTTTCTCCCACTTTCCTTCTGCTCCTCTGGATGGTTCTCCTTCCTGTGTAGAAACTGCATTGCAACCTCTTTTTAGTGTCCAAAGACTAAGCCACACAGTGTGATGAAAAAGGAAGTGCTTAGCTATCTGCAGCATGCAAAGAGAGAAATATATTTGAAGCTGCACACCCTTCCCCCAGCACACAGTCAGGGCTGCCTTGGGGACTAGTGGGCGGGTTGAGAAACATTCTCTCTTCCCTTTCCTCCCTAACCCACAACCTGCTGTTCAATTCAGCTTTGGTTTTGATATAACTGTAGAACACTTCCTGCCGGCAACGTTGGTGAGCTGTTACCTTTATTCGAGAGACCTGCTGAACTCCACAGCATCGCCAGGCCACAGATATGCAAGCCATCAAGTGTGTGGTGGTCGGAGATGGGTACGTATGATGCCTTTGAGGCACAGGGGAGAGTGGGGGAAGGGCTGAGCTTTGGATGAACTTCTTGTTTCCTCTAATGCCCTATTGGCTGGGTTGCATGCTCTTTCTTGCTCTATGTCCATATCTCTTTTAGAGTGGCCATGCAAGCATGAGGGGGAAGATTGATCCAAGACATCAAGGGCAGAAAAATAACATTTAACAAAAAGTGCCACAAAAAGATAGTTTCAGTTAAATGTTACTCTGGAATATGTGTTATTTCTGTGTGGCATCATTGATGGCAGAATCAAGGCCAGAATACAGTTATCCCTTGCTGAGTGGTCCATGACCACTTTATGTAGTTTGGTTCTGATGAATGTTTCATATACTGCTTTGTTAAATGCAAGTGACCTCCAAAAATACGAAACAAAAATGTTGAATCTGTTGGATTAAAAGCTAGCACAGTGCAGCAAGCTCTCAAATGAAACAAAAACAAGGTGTTTGTGACCTTGCGTCGGGGCTGGTCTTTCTCTGCTTGATGATGGTAAAGAGCATATGTGACTATTCATTTTGCATGGGAAAATGAAAGCATTTGTCTTTCTGGAAGCATTTGCCATAAGCCATAAATGCACAAGGCTGCTGTGACCTGTGGAGATCTAATTCCTGATGTCAGTGTGCATAGGCTAGAGGCCAGGAGCTGACACTCAAGAGATAGGTGTAGCCTTAAGAGGAATACCCTGCTCCTGACCAACAGTTTCCAGTCCAGAAACAAAACCGGCTTGTAGCATGGAAGCAGTAGGTCTGGGATTTGTCATCAGACTGCTTTTTATGTATAGTGAGACCTTGGGCTCCCCCTTTCCCAGAGTGATCCCCTCCACTCACCCATAACTTCTTATAGGGTGGCAACCTGTGCTTGATGGGGTTGCACTCCCCCTGAAGTCACAGGTCCACAGCTTGGGTGTCCTCCTAGATTCTGCGCTAATGCTTGAAGTTCAGGTGTCGACGGTGGCTGGGAGGGCCTTCACACAATTGAAGCTCGTGCGCCAGCTATGACCGTATCTCATGAAGTCAGATTTGGCCACGGTGGTCCATGCCTTAGTTACCTCTAGATTGGACTATTGCAATGCACTCTACGTGGGGCTGCCCTTGAAGACAGCCCAGAAATTCCAACTGGTCCAACGAGCGGCAGCCAGACTACTAACTGGTGTGAGCTACAGGGAGCGGTCAACCCCCCTGTTTAAGGAGCTCCACTGGCTACCATTTATTTTTCGGGCCCAATTCAAGGTGCAGGTTTTGATCTACAAAGCCCTAAACAGTTTGGGGCCCGCCTACCTGCACAACCACATTTCTACGAGAGACAGGGCCTTCTCTGTGGTGGCCCATTGGCTCTGGAATACACTCTCCAGAGATATTAGGCCAGCCCCCACCCTGGAAATCTTTAGGAGGAGCCTGAAAACTTGGCTGTTCCAATGTGCCTTCAATGACTGAATGTATGATAATCCCTGACCAGAGGCGGCCCTAGGCAATTTTCAATGGTAAGCAAACAGTATTTTGCCCTCCCCCTCAACCAATCAGTGATATATATTTTCTGTTCGTCGTGGGAGTTCTGTGTGCCATATTTGGTTCAATTCCATCATTGGTGTTCAGAATGCTCTTTGATTGTAGGTGAACTATACAACTCGCATATGTCAAGGTCTATTTTCCCCCAAGAGCACCTAAAGAGCGCCCCTGGGCAAAATCAACTATACTGCAAATGCTTACTCTGTGTAATGGGTTGAGCCGCCCCTGTCCCTGACCAAACTCTGCATAAAATGTCCTCAGACACACTTTATTCTCTGGTTTGTGCAATGAACTCTTACCTTATCCCCCGGATCCCCTTCCTGATATTTTACACTGCCCTATCTCCCAGTGTTTTAAATTTTTAATCTTTGAACTGGCCCTGTCCATTGTGTTCATTTTTAGTGGTTTAATATTTTGATTTTATATTGTTGTGCTGTATATTTACATTTTGTATTTTTGTACTTTATGTTATTTTATTTTCTGATTTTCAGTTATGTTTTTGTGTTATATTGTGTTTCTGTATTGATGGGCATGGCCTCATGTAAGCCGTCCCAAGTACCCTTTAGGGAGATGGTGGCGGGGTATAAATAAAGATGATGATGATGATGATGATTATTATTATTATTATTGGGAGCCTTAGCACAATGCTGCTATGTTTTGTTGAAAGAAATAAGCAGCATGTGAGAATGTTCTCTTTTCTTTACCTATAAATCACAAAATCTCCCAAACTCCCTCTGGGCAAAAAGTAGTGGAAAGGGGTATTTCAAGTGGAGGCCAACACTTTGAGAACATGACCAGTTTACAACAGGCCAAAGGCTTAGCCCTACCTCAACCTCAAAGCCACAGCCGTTGACCAAAGCAGCTGTTGGCTATGCTGAGTGGTGGATCTGGGGAGTCATTGCCCTATGGAACATAACATCCTTTTACTGGGATAGCTTGTCGTGGGTGGAGGACATTTGCAAGACTATTCATCTCCTTCCTGACAGTATTATTTGGCTGTGACTCAAAACCATGTCCTTTTCCATAAGCTGAAGTCAGCTCAGTAAGAGCTTGCAGCTTGCCTGTGGATATCACTTGCTTGCAACTCTGGGGCTCCTTTGCACAGTTAAAGCAATACAATTCCACAAACTGACATGGTTCAATCTCATGGAATCTGGGGATTTGCAATTTAGCCAGTAAACTCTGATGCTTCACTAAACTACAAACCCCAAAATTCTATAAGATGCCATTGTCATACTTAAAGTGGTATCATAGTGCTATAACGGCATGGTGTGGAAGGCCCTTGGTCTGTAATACACATAAATCAGTAGAAGACCTGCTTCTTCAGAAATATGAAAGGAGCACAGTCTCAGCCTCCTGCCCTTTGGGTGGATTCTGTCTTTGAAACTGCTTAGAGCAGTGGTTCTCAACCTGTGGGTCCCCAGGTGTTTCGGCCTATAACTCCCAGAAGTCCCAGCCAGTTTACCAGCTGTTAGGATTCCTGGGAGTTTAAGGCCAAAACATCTGGGGACCCACAGGTTGAGAACCACTGGCTTAGAGCATGATGTCTTATGCTTAGAAGAAAGAGTGAGGCAGGGAAGAAAGGGAGAAATTCAAAGAGAGCATTCAAGCATTGAGAAGTTGAAGCCTATTTCTATCTTTGGAGTTTTTGTAATGATGTCACCTAATTAGACAAGAACTAAAGTAAGCAACATTTGCACCTTCCACACCTAAACAGTTGCTTCCTCTTAAAAGTCCCCTTAAAAGAGGAAGTCTATATGAACACAGATGCCTTAAAAGAGAGAAAGGGAGAACAAGAACTATCCTCTTAAGCAGGTGGAACTGAAGGTTGGAGTTTCAGCCAATTACAGTATCATTAAAAACCAGATGAAGAGAAAGATTTCAGCCTTGGACTCTAAGAGGAACTGCCAATTAAAATAAATAATTTTGGATTGGACAGACTAATGTCTGACTCTGTATGCTGCAACTGTGCAGGTCATACAAAGCCACCAGTATTTGGATAGCAGAGAAAATATTAATTTCGAGGGATACAACTCTGCAAGTCCCCCGGCCAAGCTGATTGGGGATTCTGAGAGCTACATTGAAAACAAAGCAAAGCAATACAAAAACCTAACTTTTTATAACTCAAGTTGGAATGTAGGATAAGAGGAACATAGGTTTTATATAAAAAGCCTTTCAGTCATTTACTAGCAAATGCTCATTAATAAATATTTACATTACAGCCCAATCCAAAACATTTTTATCTATACATGCGCTGAACCTTTGCCCTTCAATTAGCTTTGCAATGCATAACATGGATTTCTCAGAAGAACCTTCTCCAATTTGATAGCACCAGTTAATTGTTACTCTACAGATCCCATCATTCCTGACCATTGGCCCTGCAGGCTGCTTCAAAACATAGTATTTTTCTAAAGTAGAGTTGTTAATGCACGGGTGAAACTTTTCATAGTATGAAGATCAATATGTTCACTTGTGTGACAGCTGGTGGCTTCAGCTACCATGGGTACATCTACACTGTAGAATTAATGTGGTTTGGTAGCCTTTAACTGTTATGGCTCAATGCCATGGATTCATGGGATTTGTAGTTTGGTGAGTCACAGACACTCTTTGGCAGAGAAGACTAAAAACCTTGTAAAACTACAGTTCCCATGATTCCATAGCACCGAGTAGTGTCAAATTGTATTCAGTCTGCAGTGGTGATGCACCCTATGTCACTGTATTCCCCCTTCTACAGTGTCATGCTTGTTTTGCTTTTAACATTTTAAAAGTATGTGCATGTTGCCAAGCTCATTTTTTCAGCTGAATGTCTCTCTAATCCTGAAACACACAACTGATTGAGTCCATACTTAGTTTTAGGTGGTTTGATCTGAGAACATTTTTTGGAAAAAAAACCCACCTTCATTGGAGTCAATGTTGCATGCATCCCTAATAAATACATGAAGTGCAATATTTTTAGTATTAGCACCCAACTTTGAAGCAAATCACAGCCCAAAGGTTCTCTTAACTGCTCTAATTTTGTAGCAAACTGCCGATGTTTTTATTTGCCAGCACCTTTTGAGTTGATAATGCTTTATGAATGTTTCAAATCTGCCTGGTCTCTTAGCTTTTAAATTGCCTTTTACTTAACCTTTCCAAATAATTGAAATAATTTATAAGCTCTTCACGGTTGTCAATGTTATCTGGTTCAAAAGTGAGTGATTATTTGTAATAGAAAGGCATTCAGTCATACTGTGAACAGCTAAATCCATAATATGAATGATGGGGTGAATCAATAAATGAACATGACATTCTTCCATGTTTGGTTTTCTACATTTGGTTGCATGGGAATAAGAGAAATGTGGGGGAAATTACCCATTTCATTATCTCCGTGACTCTGTTTTGTTTTTTCTGTGTCCAATAGGCAACATCTCCTTAGCAAGAACTGCAATAACATCCCCCGTGTGGATTTTCCTTTTATTTCAGAGCTGTGGGTAAAACCTGCCTTCTGATCAGCTATACCACAAATGCCTTCCCTGGAGAATATATCCCAACTGTGTAAGTATATCGGGGTGGAAAAACCTTGAAAAATCTGGGCTTTAGAACAATATGCTAATCTGGAAGACAGATCCCCCTTCCTGATCATGTATACCTTTATTGTCTCTTGGACAGGCAGTTTGGTGTGCAATTTGGAGAAGTATAATTAGGTATTTTTAGATACCTAGCTGAGAATGGCACTGCAAAAGTTGGAAAAATAGAAAGGAAATTTTTAGAACTTGAAAACTATATTTTTCCAAACTCAGTGGAGTAGGCTCCCTATTATTGCATTGCACTGCTCCAAAGGCTTGGTCCCACAGCCAGGTCTTTACCCTCTTTCTCAAGGACAGAAGGGAGGGGGGCTGATCTAACCTCACCAGGAAGGAAGTTCCATAGCCAAGGGGTGGGGCAATCACTAAGAGGGCCCTGTCTCTCATCCCCACCAAACGCACCTGTGGTGGGACTGAGAGCAAAGCCTCCCCAGAAGATCTTAGTCTTCATGGTAGTTCATAAAGGGAGATGTGTTTGGACAGGTAAACTGAGCTGGGGCCATTTATGACTTTATAGGTCAAAGCCAGCACTTTGAACTGTGCCTGTTACAAACAGGCAGCCAGTGGAGCTGACACATCATGTGAGTTGTGTGCTCCCTGTATGCTGCCTCTTGTTGGACTATTTGAAGCTTCTGAACAGTCTTCAAAGGCAACCCCACATAGAGTGTGTTGCAGTAGTCTATCCTGGATGTGACAAGAGTGTAGACCACCATGGCCAAGTCTGACTTCCCAAGGTACAGGCACAACTGGTGCACAAGTTTTAATTGTACGAAAGCCCCCCTAGCTACCGTTGCAACTTGAAGCCCAGTGATGAGTCCAGGAGGACTCCCAAGCTGCGAACCTGCTCCTTCAAGGGGAGTGTACCTCCATCCAGCACAGGCTGCAATCCTATACCCTGTTCAGCCTTGTTACTGACCAGGAGCACCTCTGTCTTGTCTGGATTCAACTTCAATTTGTTCACCCTCATCCAGACCGCCACCAGGCACTGGTTCACGACCTGGACAGCCTCCTTAGCATTTGGTGGAAACGAGTATTAGAGCTGGACATTATCTGTGTACAGATGGCATCAAACTCCAAAACTCTGGATGATCTCACCCAGCGGCTTCATGTAGATGTTAAACAACATGGGGGCCAAGACTGAACCCTGTGGGACACCACAGGACAATGGCTGCAGAGCCAAGCAGGTGTCCCCCAACAACACCTTCTGGGTATGATCCTCCAGGAAGGACTAGAACCACTGCAGAACTGTACCCCCAAGATCCATTCTCATGACGTGATCCAGAAGGGTACTATGGTCTATGGCAGGGGTCCTCAAACTAAGGCCCGAGGGCCGGATGTGGCCCTCCAAGGTAATTTATCCGGCCCTCGCTCAGGGTCAACCTAAGTCTGAAACGACTTGAAAGCACACAACTTTCATCAGCCAAAGGAGGCCCACACTTCCCATTGAAATACTATTAAGTTTATATTTGTTAAATTGTTCTTCATTTCAATTTTTGTATTGTTTTTAAGTGTTATTTGCACTACAAATAAGATATATGAAGTGTGCATAGAAATTCATTCATATTTTTTTTTTCAAATTATAATCCGGCCCTCCAACAGTTTGAGGGACTGTGACCTGGCCCTCTGTTTAAAAAGTTTGAGGACCCCTGGTCTATGGTATTGAAGGCCACTGAGAGGTCCAGGAGAACCAACAGGGACACACTCTCCCTGTCAAGCTCTATACAGAGACCATCCACTAAGGTGACAATGGCTGTCTCAGTTCCATGACCCGGTCTGAATTGATATTGTACTTCATCAATGTATTAAAGATGTGAATTGTGGACTGAAAACCCCAAAAGCTCAGGATAAAGTAAATCAGTTAGTCTCAAAGGTGCTGCTAGATTATCTCATTTTTTCCTCATTATGCTGAAGTAGACCAACATAGCTATCACTCTGACCCTTTTAAGGATTTAACACAAACATCTGTTACAGGTTTGATAATTACTCTGCCAATGTGATGGTTGATAGCAAACCTGTAAACCTGGGACTCTGGGATACAGCTGGACAGGAAGATTATGACCGCTTGAGGCCTCTCTCCTATCCTCAGACGGTGGGTCTCCTTATGATCATTTTTGCTGGGTTATGTCTCATATCTGCCTTAAACAACTTGTATTTTTGTGTTTGAGGCAAAAAAATCTTAAAAACACCCTAAGGGAGGTAGAAGAACAACAATATATAAAATGATTATTTGCAGCCCTTTAAAAGCCTATTGAAATTGACTGTCTGAAGTGGAGCACTTCAGCCTAATGGCAGGATTGGCTCTGTCTCCCAGAATCAATATTGTAATGTCAAAGTCTTGGGAATGATTTTAATCAAGCACATTTTAATGATTTGTAGTCTCCAAAGATGAGCTGTTTTAAAGCGCTATCCAAGCCAGGATTGTGATAAGAGATCATCCAGTAAACATGTAATATAAATTATATATTTATATTATATGTGATATTACTAATAATATTACAATATAATGGTATAGTACAATGTAGCAATATTTAATACTGATATTGTACTATGCTAATAATATAATATATTGTATGTATATATATCTTGTAAGCTGCTCTGAGTCCCCTTCAGGGTGAGAAGGGCGGCATATAAATGTCGTAAATAAATAAATAAACCACTGCTGCATCTGAAGCCCTAGACAAGTATGGAGAGGGGGGCAGTTTTGCCCCACATAGTACTTTGTATCCACTTTACAGGATTGCTGTAAGAAGTATAGAGAGATGGCATGTGACATTTTTTGAGCCCTAGGGTAAGCATCATATAACTTGATCACTTGTGTTTCACAAAATATCTGACTGTTTAAATATACTTTTTAAACCTACAGGATGTCTTCCTCATCTGCTTCTCTCTAGTCAGCCCTGCATCCTATGAAAACGTCCGTGCAAAGGTGAGATCTTCTGTGTTTAGGCAAAGGAGAAGGTACTCTACAAGGCATGTAAGAATGAAGTTGATCATGGTCCAGCGAGATACCAGCTACACCATGGAAGACCTCTGGTGGCTCTGAATGCATTGAGCCCAGCTATAAGTTACACACACACACACACACACACAAACCCTTTCCTGGTCTAAGTCTCAAATCCAGCACCTATTTCAATAGTCACAGATCAGGGTTGATAAGTGGAAGGCTTTTTGCCTCAGGACTTAAAATCAATCCAGAGAGGGAGGAAGGATAGGTAGGTCAATTATGGGAAGTTTAAGGATTTATTCAAAGAAATAGCTGTGTTGGTCTCTACAGTATGTAAAATGATCTTGCAGCACCTTTGAGATTAACTCAAAGTAGCATAAGATTTTGTAGAATGGGCCTAGTAGATCTGTTTAGATGTAGCCTTCATCAAATGCAGTAGACTTAGTCTCCAGGAGCATCCTTCTTCCAGTTAATCTGAAAGGGAATGTAGGATCCCTTTGATAATTTATATACATGATTATATTTGGCATGCTGTCATGAATAAAACTCTTTATATTAGGATAATCAAATAGTAAGGATAGGTTTGCCTCTTAAGAACTACCATTCACAACACTATAACTACTACTACAAACATGGTTTACTTGATGACACTCCAGTTCCCATCAGTTCTAACCACCCCTGGTCAATACAAAGTATGAGCTAACTTTGATTCAAATCACTGTATAACAAGAAAGCCATGACTGGACCTGCTAAATTTATTTTCATTGTAGTTTTGCTGTTCTTGTGTTGCTTTTATAAAGGTGTAGGGAATTTTGATTTTGACAAGAGCATCAGCACTGATGAAAGGTGCTTAACCTTTTCACCTATAATAATCCCTATTCAAATTTATCCCCCCCCCCCCCACTTCCACAAACACACACCAAAAGAGGTTTAGTCTAACAGGCATAAAAAAGAAGTGCCTATGTTGTGCTTCTGTTTGCTTCCCAGCAGGACTATTAACAACAGGGAAAAGTTTAACAGCATGTACCCTAGAGGCAGAGGCTGTCTCCATGGCCACCTACTCACAATATATTTTTCTCTGAGGAAGGAATGGACTCCAGGAGAGAATCTGAGGAGAGGTGGCAGAAAAGAACATTGTTAGAGCAACCCAGTGGAACTGTGAGCAGAGGGGACATGTGTCTTTCCATCTTTCTTTGCAGGACCCTTTTGCCACTAACAGTTCTTCCCACCACTTCTGCATATTCAAATCCATTGCCTGGAAACATTTAAACATTTCCTTATTTATGGACATTAATCAATTTTTCCAAATGTTGAGCTATAAATGTCATTATTGCTCACTATTGGCTATGCTGTTGAGAGATGACAGGACATGTGGTATTCCCCACTTTTGTTTTAGTGGAATATAAACACTAGTATTGTATGTATGTGTTTTTGTGTGAAAATAGTACATATATTGAGTCTTTTATCTGAGACTTTAATTACAACACAGAGACCTTGAGTGTATACTTTTTTTATTTTAGACTCTGGGCACTGCTAGAAACAGAATTTTGAATTAGGTTGGATCTTTTTTCAACAAAAATGTCTCCAATTCCCATCCCAGCAGGAATACCAATCATCTTAGCTAGAGGCTTTCAGACACTGAACACTAAACACATTTTTGAATTAGACACAACTCAGTTTGATGATCTAGGTTAAAAATGCTCCTCTTTGGCAAGGTTTGCCAGATCTAAGACCAGTTTTTATTTCACCTCACAACCTCTGAGGATGCTTGCCAGAGATGCAGGCGAAACATCAGGAGAGAATGCCTCTAGAACATGGCCATATAGCCCAAAAAACCTACAACAACCCAGTGATTCTGGCCATGAAAGCCTTCGACAATACCGTTTTAATTTTATTTTTCTGTCTGTTTTTTAAAATTGATTTTTAAAAACAATTATGATTACCAATAAAGGGAAAAAATTAAAAGAGGAGAAAAGGAAAGTGTGTAAAGTACATAGGACACGAAAATGGACTAATAAATTACAAATAATAATAATAATAATAATAATAATAATAATAATAATAATTTCTTTATATTCTGCCCTCTCTCCCCAAGGGGACTCATGGCAGATTATAAGAAAAGATCACAAAACATTCAATGAGAGATCCATGTATGTTAATATAAGGTAAGGGTGATCCACAGGCTCCATGAACCCCCAAGATCATTTTTGTAGATCCAACATTCTCTATCTAATTTAGTTTTCTCACTCCAAAATGTTCACTGAGGGCTAGGTGCTCTGTTTCTCCTGGACCTCTTTAAGACCAGAAGAGGCAGTTTAAAAAAGATGGGAACTTTACAAGAGTAAAACAGTCTAATGAAATTATCAGTGGACTCTTTAGAGATCATTCAGTGGAATTTAGAGCCATTTTGGTTTTGTTTTTCAATAATGCAGTGTGTTTGTGGGTATTTGCAACTCTCTAAAGTCTCCTGGGGGGCAGTGCAGCCTAATAATAACTCACCCTTGATATAAGGTGACTATATTTCCACCCCCACCCACAAAAGAAAACATTTTCTTGATGTTAACATCAATACAATACAGATTTATGCTAATTAACAATATCAAATTTTCCTATAGTGGTTTCCTGAGGTACGACATCACTGTCCCAGCACTCCCATGATTCTTGTAGGCACAAAGCTTGATCTCCGGGATGACAAGGATACCATTGAGAAGCTCAAGGAGAAGAAGTTGGCACCTATTACCTATCCACAAGGCCTCGCGCTGGCCAAAGAGATTGGTATGTGACAGTGTGGGAGGGAGAGTGTCCAGATTCAATCTGTGTCAATTCAGACTCTAGAAAGTAATCTCAGTAAAGAATTCAAAAATTGCTTTTGTGTACTATAGTCTCTAAATTTTGCATTATGTGATCAAGGGTAGATCAGCAGTTCCTTTAGATGGAAAGTATCAGCACAAGATACATTTATAGTCCAATATAAAGCCTTTTGACATTCTTAGTTACCTCTACACATTTTGGGATCAAAGAATATAGCTGTTTGCATTTTGGGGAAAGACACATTAAGAAATACATATTTTCAAAAGCTAATTTGGAAGCGGTTTCTTTACAAACATAGCTTCTAGAACCTATGAGTTTCATGTGTGTTATTCTACCCTGAGTACCAGTTTATATACGTTTCTTTTTTCCCCTATGTCTTAAGTAGATAAAGAAATTAAACTCAGACTGACAAAGATTCTAGACAAGCACATACAACACATGAACAAACAAGACTCCTATATATTTTTATTATAAATTTGAAAAAAAAACTGCTGTCTCAAACAGTGAAAGACATGTCCTGTTTGTCATAATATGTGACTGTCCTTAACTGTGTAATCAGCCCTCCACATTCACTGTGGTTAGGGCTGCAGGAACCCCACCAGAAGTTGGCTGTACCGCTGTGCTGAAGAATCTGGAGATTCCCAGAGATGTGTTCTCTTTAGGAATCTCTAGGTCCTACCTGTGATCAACTTCTAGCAGATGTTGACCAAAGTGTGGCATTGGAGAACCTAGAAATTCTTAGAGAGGTCATATTAAGCAAATCTGTGAATAATCAAATCCATACAAATCAACTGTGCAAATGTGAGAAGCTAACTATCTTGCACATGGTATGTTTTGTTGTTCAATTGTTGGTCATTGAAAATAAACACTAAATCTATAGGTCTGATTGTAAAAACAATGCAAAAATCCCATTACGAGAGGGGACATATATTAATCACAATGACAATGTCTTCTGCTTAATATTTACTTTGACTCCATCTAGACATAAAATAGACTAATCTATGAATCCCACCCTATCTTATAGTGATCACTTAGGAAAGCCTGCATAGACATACCATCTTAGAACATGGTTTTTGTTCTTGCTAACCAAGGAATGAATGCAGGAAACAGCATGCCAGAAGAGGTGGCATCAAGCAATCCTGGAAAACTATCAAAGACATACTGGAAAAACTAAAGGTCTATCTAGACCTGTGTTTCTCAAACTGTGCTCCTCTAGGTGTTTTAGACTTCAGCTCCCAAAAATCCCAGCCAGCTTTCCAGCTTTTAGGAATAGAGGAAGCGAAGTCTAAAACATCTGGAGGACACTGTTTGAGAAACTCTGATCGAGGCTAAAGTTTTGTCCAATAGGACGCCCACAAGCAGGATGGAAATGTGATCTCACCCTCTCATTCATAGTCTCAGCTTATTACTGTTTTTAGTATTGGAGATTAGTTATCATTGTATTGGCAAGTAGCCTTTGGTGGCCTTGTCTTCCATAAATGTGCCCAGACTCACACATGCCATAGCTACATTTTGCAGTAGCAGATTACATAGTTTCATTTTTGCTGAGTAAATAGGACACCTTGTAACTGCTTGGAATCTCCCGCCATTTAGATTTAGTGACTGATATTACTCCCGCGTTTGAATATTCTGAGCAGCAAACAAAAGTATTACTTATCCAATTTCTCCACATCATGCATAACTTTGGTCATCTCTATCACTTCTCTCCTTGCCTATTTTTCCCCCAGCACCATCCTATGATGATCTCACAGTTAGTTTTCTCACTGCTTTCCATTGGGCCTTTCTGTTTTAATCACGAGCACTGGTGTTGCTTCTATTAATATGTTCCTTTTATCCTATCTTCTCTCCTTCACTTGTGATGTGTAGAACTGGCTTACGAGAGCTATCAGCTGAAGTGCTGTTTAACCACAACTTCCTTTTCCTGCCTTGCCCTGCAATCTGGGGCTAAGCAAGAGCTCTGCTAGTGTTGCTTTAGTTCTTTCTTCAGGTCTTTCCTCCACTTTAAGTATGTACAAACACCAATCTTTCCTAGATGGATATGCTGTTTTCATTCCATTTCCATTGCACTTCCAATTAGCTTTTCAGATAGAGAGGCAGCGATGTTTTGCTTGGATGCACAAGTACCTTTTCTTGTCCAGAAGATGTTTTCAGATTGGTCATATGAGGTTCATTTGAACTGTGAGTTCCAACTAGAGTAGGAAAAAATCACATGAGCAACAGCTAAAGCTGAACCAGTAACAATGGGGGAGGGAAGAAAAAGGAAGAAACATATTGAAAACATCAATTGAACTAAATACTGACAAACTGGATTTAAAAAAAACAACAACAAGCTGAAGCTTTTAAAAGGTTGGCCTGGCATCTACCCCTTCATATTGCCCAGATGAAAGAATCCTTTACATGTTACATAATTATAGCAGTTTGATACTGGTTTAACTTTCATAGCTTTCTAGGGAATTTGTAATTTTATGATAATCTTCTGCCAGAGTTCAAGTGCCTCACCAAAATACAAATAAGAGGATACCAAAGCCAGAAAGAAAAGGGGGAAAAGCAGGGGGGTGGGATTTCTCTGTCAGTGTGGCTACTTCAAAGAGTGGCACAGAGTGTATCTTTGGACTGACTGGATTAGCCTAAGAGTATAGCTGAGGAGGGAGAGTTTCTCTGCATGCCTGAGGCTGGCTCATAGACTTAAAACAATTATTTTGAAACAGTGAGATAGAAACCAAAAATGAACCAAGTGAACATTTGTTTTTTCAACATCTACCCCCACAGCACATGGCATTTATGCGTGTGAATAACTATCAGTTTATTTTCAAAAGCAACATTCTGAGCTCTGAAATTTGTATGAAAATTGCATGTATCGTGGGTATGGAAAACAGTTTCAAGCTTTTAAAACAATGGTTCCCAAAATTTGGTCCTTCACATGGTTTGGACTTCAACTTCCAGAATTCCTGACCGTGGACCAAGTCCAAAACACCTGAAAGACCATAGTTTTGGTAATCATTGTTTTAAAATATTAAAACATGGTGGTGTTAGGGAATCTGCCTACCAGCTCTCAGCTCTCTCTCCCTCTCCCCTGATATTTTAACTGTAAAAAAAAACTTTCATAGAGGAGCAATTTTACTACAAGGCCACGCTTTTTAAGGCTCCGGAGAGGTTATCATTTAACAATGGAAAAGGCTTGAAGTTGAGTTTAATTATTGGATGAATTATGCTTCTTCGGGTCCTAAAGCATCCTGTGGTGGGTAGAAAGTAGTAGAATGGTCTGTGCATGGGTATTTTGGGTGAAGAAAACCCTAACATATCTGAGGCTGCTGAGCATAGCATGCAACAAGATCATTCAAGGGGCTTCCCATCTCTGACAGTTGTCTATCTCTGGGTTAGAAGGTAAACATGTCAATTTTTCAATCCCCATACCTCCTCTATTCTTGCTTCTACCCTAGATGTTTTTCACAGAGGAGAGAAACTCTTTTATTTTTAACACAGAATTTTTGCCTACCTGAAACTTGAATGAAGCTGTTCCAAGTATGCACTTTGAGTTGTCTTAGCTTGAGAGAACACCTGCTTTGCTTTGAAGAGCACTCAGAGTTTTCCTAAGCATCCTATTTATCCTTACACTTCAGCCAAGTATTTATTCCTTATGCTAGGTAAAGAAAGTATCTACAAAACTTGTAATACTTTGCAATTGTACAGTACTTTTAGAGTTTTCAAAAATGCACTGTGGTTAAATTTGGGTATCATGCATAGCCACCATGATGGAAACAAGACTGTTAGTAGTCTTCTCATAATTGACAGTGGAAAGGATTCTGGATTACATTGCTCTTTTATCTGTTCCAGCAGGGTTCTCCGTGTCCCTAGGTGTTAGGCACTGCTTGAACTTGAATAATCTTAGAAGATCCAGGTTCTACTCCCCAATAGAGTCCATAAATTACACTGAGTGACCATTGTGCACTTTCTGTCTATCTTACCTCACAAGGGTTATACGAACAAAAAATAGCAAAGAGGAGAGCCACATATGCCTCCTTGAGTACATTGGAAGAGGGACGGGATATAAATGCACAATAATATTAACACAACAACAAATCTCATGCATAAGGTGGTAATATAGCTGGCAAGGAAATCTCCAGAAGTAAATACCTATTTCATCACAGGCTTCTTATTTTGCAGATGCAGTGAAATATCTTGAATGCTCAGCATTGACCCAGCGTGGCCTGAAAACAGTGTTTGATGAGGCCATCCGGGCAGTTCTCTGTCCTCAGCCCACAAAGACGAAGAAAAGGGGATGCAGTATCCTTTAAAGGGTAAAGAGCAAGGCACTGTTTACTCCTATATCTAGAACTGATGGATACATGTTTTTACACCCTCTTGGAGGTGAAAATTGTGTGGCTTTTGTGATGACATTGAATTGCATCTCCCAGCATCTCTCACTATTGACTATACAATTAGTTCTCCACATTTGCAGGTTTAATTTTTGTGGATTTGATGAAGATGTTATTTCTAGGAATCTATAAATGCTCCAGTGTGAGTCTATGATCAACATCTAGTGGAGAGTGACTACAGAGTCATACTGGACTGAATAGCCCTATCTAAAGCAGGGGTGAGGCATCCTAGATCCATCACTTGCTACAACTTTCATAAGCCCTTAGCCTCCTGAATAGGGTTACTACAGACCAAAGTATGAGAAGAGCCACAGCTGCCTGATTTAAAGCTTTGACACGTGGTACTCCATTTTCAAGATCTCTGGCCACTTGACCCTCCTTTTTATTCCTAGTCAGCATTCCGGGGTAACTGAACATTGAGATATTTTGGTCCCAATTTTTCTTCTTTTGGCAGGGGATGTATTTCTGCAAACCATAGACTTTTTCCATAGATGGAAAAAGTTACTTTTAAGACCATGCAAATTCGGGGATTCTGTCAGTTGTAAGTTCAGAAATAACTTTTCCAAGCTGTGCTTTTCACGTCATATGTCAATTCCTTCTTTATAGGAAAATAGTGTCATGTTGGTTATATAACTAACAATACTCATAATCAAAATGTTAGAAATACAGGGAATTCTATAGGAGAGGGGAGCCCCACCTTTTCTAAATTGTCCTTCCTTTGTACATGCCAATTCTCAATCCACTGGAAAACTAAGCTGTCTTGACTGCACTCACGTAGGAGTTCCCGCTGCTTTGGCATCTAACCAGAGCTTGGAAAGACAATGGTTTTGTATACAGCTGCCAGAATCTCCCAGTCAGCATGAAAGTTGTATCCAAACCTCTTTTTTCTAAGCTCTCCATTTAACATAGGAAGAAAATATTCTCTAACCAACAGCTGCTAAACTGGTGCCTACCTTTCCCCTTCTGTCCTCTAGCTGTTAAGTTTGTAGTGCAACACAGCTCTCATTTTTCTCAAAACTTAAGAGCAAAGAAGCCAATGTATTCCTATGGGACTGAAAGAGCTGGCTGAGAAGGTGAATGTCAATTTTTACCCTTTGCATTTGGACCACTCACCTTTGGTTAATTCTTTTAGCATTTTATACTTTGTGTTTATATGTTATTGTTATTATTTTATCGCATTACTGTGTTATTGTTTTATTTGATGTTATCGTCTGTTTTGTATGTACTTTACTATGCTTTATTGTAATTATTTGGGCTTGGCCTCATGTTAGCCATCCCGAGTCCCTTCAGGGAGATGGTGGTGGGGTATAAATAAAGTGTTGTTGTTGTTGTTGTTGTTGTTGTTGTTGTTGTTATTATTATTACTATTATTATTACTATTATTATTATTATTATTCTGTCTGAGCATAGGTGAATATCAGAGCATGTGACATCTTCTCTTAATTATATAAACCAAGGATAGGAACCATGCCAACACCCATTTGTTACTTAACCCATCATCTATGGCTGTGCTGGCTAGATCATATGGGACTTGCAGTTTAACAGCATCGAGAGGTTTACACAATGCCTTTCACTGATTAAAAAAGACAACCCACTTCTTGGAACCCAGCTCAGGCTTGGTTGCTGGACAAGCATTTGCAGCATTTGGTAAACATTTAGCACACCATTGATCTTCCAGGTGTTTGGACTCCAGCTCCCACAATTCCTATCAGCTGGTAAGATGGCTGGGATTGCTGGGAGGTACCTGTATGTCTCATAAATTTACATTTTCTCGTTCCCTTGATTAAGCTCCATTTTATAAAGACTGACTGCTTAAAAAGTGGGAAAATTTTGAAAGTATTTCTTTTGTTTGGTATGCAGATTTCAGGCTTTGGCACTGCACCACATGGAGTAATCCTTGCCCTCCGCTGTTACTGACGGGACAGAGAGATGGCTTTGGCACCAGCTGAATTCTTCACCTGCAACTGTCTGAGTGACACCAGTGTTTGTTTTTTTCTCCCTTCTGGAGGGGCCCTCCATACTAGCTGGTTACTCTGCAATTGTTATCCTTTGCTTAGTTATTACAGAGCACCCAAAATGGCTTCATTGTTAGACCATTGTATTTCCATATTTTCTGAGTTATTCCCTTGCGTTTTTGTTTTTAAACCCAATTACAGTTCTGCCATGAGATCAAGTGGTTTGGTTTGAGCATTGCAGTGGGACTTAGAGAAACCATTGTTCAAATCCCCGTTCAGCCATGCACACCCACTAGGTGACCTTGGGCAAGTCATGTTCTCTCAACCACAGAGGAAGGTCCTTGGTAAACCTCCTCAGAATAATCTGGTCTAGAAAACCCTGTGATCACAACTCCATAAATTGGAGGTGACTGGAAGGCACATAACACAGACGGATCTACCCATGATCACCACCTGTATGCTGAAATGTAATTTCAGCATGGTCTCTTCAAGCTTTTTTTTTTTTTTAATAAACTTTATTATCAGTTTTCAATACAATAGTAAAAAAAACAATAGAAAACATTGGAGCACACGAGGGTTAAGGAATGGGAGGGGGGGTGTGAGAGGGGAGGGTGTTCTAGAAAGGAAGGGGGAAAGAGGAAAAGGGGGGAAAAGGGAGTTGGGGCAACAAGGGGAGGGAGGAAAAAGTGGGTGGGGGAAGGACGACTTTAGAAACCAGACACAAAAGGGATGGGGTGAATTTATGAATACTTCCAGGTTGAGCAGACAGATCATTATTCTTCTAAGCATATATTGTAACTGATAAACATACTTATCAGATTCTATTCTAATACATTAACAGGTTACCGCTTAAATTAGTTTCTAATATTTATTAAATTGGTTTCTAATATTTATCTTTCTTTGTCCAGGTACTCCAAGAATTTTTTCCAATCAGTATGCTTCTTCTTCTCTCCATTGTCTGATAATCTCTGGGTCAAGAGGTCCATATTCATAACATCATATGTCTTTAAAGTCCACTGTTCAATTGTAGGGATTTCTCGAGTTTTCCAGTATCGGGCCAGTTGGATTCTGGCCGCTGTCGAGAGGTGGAAAAGGATCTTACTATCATTATTGTCCATGTCAGAGTCAGTTATTCCCAACAGAAAAAGCTCGGGTTTTAAGGGAAATTTCTTTTTTAATATCTTTTCAGATTCTTTGTGAATTGCTCGCCAAAAGGCGTTCACCTTTTTACATCCCCACCACATGTGCCAGAAAGTTCCCGTAGTTCTTTTACATTTCCAACATCTGCTCCCCAATTTCCCTCTACTGATTCTGGCCAGTTGTGTTGGAGTTAGGTACCATCTAAAAAATAGTTTGTACCAATTCTCCCTGTAATCATTTGATTGTATACATTTTATTTTTCTAGACCAGATTTCTTCCCATTCCGAGAGATGTACTGAGCGGCCTAGATCTTTTGCCCATTTCACCATATTGTTTTTAACTAGCTCTTTTTCTGTTTCCCATTTTAGTAACTGCTGATATAGTTTTCTTATATGTTTATTCTCGGATTGTACAATTCTATCCCAGAAAGATTCTTCCATTTCGAACCCTGTCTTTTTATCTAAGTAGAAGCACTCCTTAATCTGATGGTATTGGAACCAAGAAAGAGTTGGGTCCTGGTTCCTTAGCTCCTCCTGGGTTTTAAGTATTGGATTCCTAGTATTTCCTTTTAAGATTTCCTTATAAGTCAGCCACTTCTCTCTGCCGGCCCCTCTAATTTGGCTAGCTTCATTCGGGGAAAACCACCTCGGAGCTTTGGTATGGAATTTATCTTTATACTTTTCCCAGATTTGAATAAGGGGAGGTCTGACGAAGTGGTTTTTAAAATTTCTTTCTTTCTTTGCTGACCCTCTCCATAAATATTTGTGCCAGCCTTCAAGCTTTTTGACAGACTCCTGTACTTTTGGTTCATTCTTTGTAAGCTTAATTTATTTATTGCACCCTCCTTGATTTGGGCTAGGAGATATTTAAACAAAAAGAATGTATCCTCTGATTTGTCTCTTGAACAGCTTTTCCAAACTGATCCATTGCCAGGATCTTGGTGTGCATGTTTATATGTGGCGTTTTATGATCAATTTAATCTCATTAGTGCTACTGCCTGGTGATGGTAGGGAGAATGAGCATCCCACTTAGTACAGGCGAAAAAGTAGAGGTGTGTGAAATGGTAGAAATTCTACCCCCCCTCCCCCACCCCTGCCCAGTTCTGTTTTCAGAAAGATTCCAGGAAACTGAGAGAGGGGGTATTTGGATTTGTAATTAAGAACGCTGAGTTCTGTTTTCATTTTTGGAGTATTTGGTTCATAGATGCCAATGGGGAAACTTTAGATGGTCTTTTCTCTGTCATATTTATGGCAATCAGGATGAAACTTGGCACACTTGTAGGACGTATTTGCAGCTGTAAGTCTGCCAAGTTTCATGACGTTTTGCTCATCCACTGATGTTTGGGAAATTTTTAAAGATTTTGCAAATAAATTCATTTTTTTAAAAAAAAAAACCACAACAGGGATTTCTGGGATCTGAAGTCCAAAATAACATGTGCCACAAGAGGGGAGGAGAATGGAAAGAGCCAGCCATCTAATTAGCTGAGAAACATGATGCAGCAAGTGCAGCTGTGCTCATTGCTCCCCATTGACCCCACTATGGAGAGATTGCTGCTTGTGCTTGCAAAAACAAAACAAAACAAAACAAATGGTCAGAATACTAATGATGAAAAACAAGTCCAAATCAATGAATATTTCCCAAATTTTTAGCTGAAAAATCATTCTGGGAAGGTTCTCAAGGGATATTTCCTGGAGCCACCAGATCTCCAAAATTACCTGAAATCTGAATCAACCAGTTGAATTTCACACATCCCTAGAAAAAAAAGAGTGATAGCATGAGAGGAGAAAACTATTACAGTGAAAACAAGAAAAGTTTCAATGTGAACAGGATAGAAAGAGGAAAGAGAGAAGAGGGAAAGAGCACTATGCTGATTGAGAAAAGAAAGGTCACAGAAAGGCAGGTTGCCGAGTATTTTGTAATGGCCATTGCACCACAGACAAATAGAATTATTATTTGGTTGATAGAAAGATTAGGAACCAAGGCCAGGAGAACCATCTAGGTGTATCTGCATTTTCCCAAAGGAGATCTTGCTATGTATAGCCCTTAGTCTTAGTATCACCATGGGAAATGCAACATGAGCAAAGATAAAAGAGGTTGGTGGGTGGGACAGTTTCAACAAATAAGTCTTCCCCAGTAGGAAGAGAAGCAGATATTAGGATAATTGTATTTTTACTGGGGGAACACAAAGTGGTAAAACAGGCCAATGGGAGGCTACCAAAGAGTATGAGAAAAGACCGGATCTACTGGATGGACCTTATTTCTGATTGTACAAGAATCATGTTCATGAGGAAAGACATTGATGGATTATATAGTGGTGTATAATGTACTGTTTGGAATACCTTGTTTTTAGGATTCACTTCCAGCTGATTGTGAAAAGGCACTACCTCTGTTGTACTAATGAGCCTTAGTATGGAAGCACCCTTCTTCTCTGAAATGTCTCTGCCCAGCTTGTCTGCCCCATAACACTTTGTGCATAGTGAATAGCTAATGATCCTCAATAAACTCTTTGTTCCTGCCAACTGTGTCTTTACTATCCCCAAAGAATTTTGAAATTGTGATGGACTGGGCTACCAACTCTTATTGGTCTCCTTAATAGCCTCTAGCCAGCATGGTTAATGATGAGAAATGCTGGAAGCTGTACTTCAAAGGCACCAGGAAGCAGAGTTCAATAAGAGAATAGTACAAGAAAGCTTTCTAGAATTTCAGCAGCCACTTCAACATTTCATAAGCCGATATGAGAAGGTCAGGGTCAGGGCTAATTTCTATGGTTTAACAGACGGGTAGTACTTTCCAATGCTCCTGTCAGTAGCAGCTGAATGTATGCATGCCAGTGGAGTGGTAAAATTTCCTCTGCTTTAAGGAAGCTTCTTGTGGAACATGGCTCAGCATTTGCATTAAAATCTGGGGCAGATACATAGCCACACTAACATGAAAATATCAGCACCTGCTGATTCCTGTCTTCAATTTGCCTGTGCAACTCTCTACTTAGAGCCAGCATCATATAGCAGTTATATATTATAACCTTTGTCTCATAGATGTTGAATCTATGAGACCAGGGTTCAAATCTCTGTTCAGTCATGAAAATCCATTGAGTGAGCTCAAATGAGCCAAAGAGAAATGCAATAGCAAACATCTCAGTAAAGTGTGCCACAAAGGTGCTACAGAAGGGTCACCACAAATCTGAGTTGATTTGAAGGCACATAACTATGACCCCATGGACTTTGTGACATCTACATGACACACAGAGCTGATTCACCCTACTTGCCTGGCAAGGATGTTTCATGCGGCCTTGCCCTGTGTTACTCAAAGTCAGGGTATGCCTTGGAGCTTTACCCCACTAAGCCCATGTGTAAACAGTTGTCAGGTTCTGATATTGAACAGGCCACTACTGTTTATTCAGGTGGCCCAGGGACAAGGAAAGGCACTTATCATTGTCCCCATCATAGTGATGACCAAGGGGCATGAAATTGCTCATCTTTTCTGCCCTTGGTTGTGCTGGTGCTTTGGCCAGCATCAGCACTAGTGACAAGCAATGACCACAAGCAATTTCATGCCCTATGATGGGTGGTGGTAAAGTGGGCCATCACTTTAGTGGTGTGGACATTCGGGGAAGCACGCTACTTGTGTCTGTGGACATCCTCCCCTCGCCACAATGGCTGGCTAATTCAGAAGCCTATATAGATGTGCCCTTAAACGAGCATGTACTTAAAGGCCAGAACCTGGGAAGTTCTATTTTTCACTGCAATACCCAGAATTCCTCAGCCATTCCAGAATGAATGGCTGAACTTTCTGCAGCCCTGTCTATGACTTTGGCTCTATTATAATCACATTTTCCCCTCTAACAGCAGACTCTGGCACACAGTGGGATAGATCTTATTATCAGTCCCACCTGGGGTATCCTTTTCAAAGTCCTGCAAAGCTTCTCCTGTTGTGTCCAACAGCCAGTTTTCATCAGACTACCAGGCCTGCTGAGATTCGGGGTTTT